TGATGTATCCCAACATTACATGAATTTTTTCATTCCTTAATATTTACATTTAATATGTTTAAATAATTTTTTTTGTTTTTATGTCAGAGTGACGAAAGGCGCGCGGAAGCCAGACTACCCGCTTTTGGCTCTATTTTCAGGGCTCTGTAAAAATTATAAATAATCGAGATACAATTTCAGTAGTCGTGACTTTTTCCACACAAATTCATTGATCTTTTCAAGAAGAAGGGGGTTCTCTCTTTCCACACTTCAATTCTGATTGGAACACAAGGAACCTAATAATTCTGTATTTGTAAAACTCCTCCTACACGTATAATTATGACTCTACATGAATATTCCACCATCCAACTCATCAACTCCACCCTACAACTCCCTGACAATGCCAATCTGTTGCAGAGGGTTCGACAAGCCTCGAGCTGGACGGGAACATGTACGTGGGTGGACTAGGAGCGCCCTTTTCCGAAATCCCCGTCCCCGCAGGGCTCTGGACCGCCGTCCTTCAACAAGGATTCGTCGGATGCTTCAAGGACCTCATTATGAACAATGAGGCGGTGGATGTCGCCGGATTTGCACGGGAACAGGATTCTGGTGAGTGGTTTAGCTTTTTTTGTTGTTGTGCCTAATAGGGTGTGCCCGAGATTCGGTCTGTTTTCGTTGAATCGTTCCATTTCAAGAAGATAATTGAGTATAAAAACAACAAATCCTTATATTATTTTTCGTAATGAATTTTTTGCTGGGTATCATTGTTCTGACGGATATTAAGGGGTTCTCTTTCAATCAATATGACAAAGATCTTTGAAAATACTTTTTCATACTCATCAATTTATTACATCACTCGATTTGCTTGTTTAAATATCACAGGAGCCATGAGAACAACACCAACAGTGGCAATGGAATCAATTACTGGTCTAACCCCTCTGGACCTGTATGTTAAGGAGATTGCGTTGCGAAGGTCTTTCTACCATCTAGAAAGACCTTCGCAACGCAAGGAGTAGCAAGGAGTTTGGAGTAGCCATTCCGTTGAAGATCATTTTTGCTGATGTCTAGTTCCTTCTCGAGACCTTCCTTCGTGTTACAGAGCCCGAAAGCACGGTCCAATAGAGTCTTGATGATTCCTCTTTTAGTTGAATGATGGTGGTTGGATTCGTGGTTCAGATACTGTCCCGTATGAGTGGGTTTTCGATATACAGATGTTTCCCACTTAGTGTCGGTCCTCTTCACCAAAAAGTCTAATAATGGCAATTCGTTGTGGATTTCCTTCTCAATTGTGAAAATGATGGAAGGTCTCACGCTGTTGATGTATTTCAGGAAGGCGTCTAGTTCAGTGTTTCCATGGTTCCATATTATGAAGGTGTCGTCTACGCATCTCAAGCAGACTTGGTACTTCTTGTGGGCTTCTTCAATGGCCAAAGTTTCAAACCACTCCATATTATACAGTGCTAGTCAAAAGTCCCCTCCCCCCCTCGTATCTTTGGAACGGGTATACTTATAATAATGAAATTTGGAGGGTGGAAATAAACGGATGTAGTCTTCTTAACTGGTCATAACAGGTGACGCAATAGTCATAAATGACGTCACAAGGCTACTGTGACCAAAAATTTTAAATGGGACCCTATGGCAAGTGACAGCTCGTTTGAAAGGTATTGAAAATACCTATTCAGTCATACCAATTTTGTTTGGGTTTCGGCTGATTTTGATTGATAAATTGAAGAAATACGAAAATTATTGTTTCGCATTTAATTAATAAAGATTTTAAAGTACGCCTCTGGTTCATTGTCAAAAAGGTTGACGTGT